TTTTCTTTCTTTTTCTCTCTGTCTCTTCATCCCTTGTCCCTTTTTCAGGGAGTGAGTGAGTCATTATGTTAACGAGCGTGCGAGCGAGCAAGTTAGTGAGTGAATACGTGTGTGGATGCGTGAGTGCGTGCGTGAGTGCAAGAAGAGAGTTGAAAAAAGGCACGCATCAAATCTTTCCTTGTGCTGGTGCCTGACTCAACTGGCACCCGGAGGCACTTTCCTCCCATCCCCGCCGCCGCTCCCCGTCCCTCGCGGAATAGTACGGAGTTTGTTCTTCGCCCGAATTAATCAGGGAGGAGATTCTATGGAGCTTTGGGGGCGCGTTCGGCTGACTCGCGGGCCCTCAATTAGCGAAGCGAGGAGCTGGGCGAAAACCGATAATGGGCGAGTGGAATTTCCTGTTGTGATTGTTCCTTTATCATATCCTTCGTTTGCTATCCTTGCTTTCCCGTTCTTCCCTCCCTGCTCTGACGCCTACTCCTACTCCTACTCGTGTACCTAGTCTTGTTCCTGTTTCCTCCTCCTGCTTGTGCTCACTCCTCATCCTCCTCCTCCTCCTCCTCCTCCTCCTCCTCCTCCTGTTCCTTCTTCTTCTCCTGTTTCCTCCTCCTGCTTGTGCTCACTCCTCCTCCTCCTCCTCCTCCTCCTCCTCCTCCTCCTCCTCCTCCTCCTCCTCCTCGTCCCCCCCCTCCCCCACCTCCCTCCCCTCCTCCCTTCCCTCCCCATCTTCCTCCTCCTCCTCCTCCTCCTCCTCCTCCTCCTCCTCCTCCTCCTCCTCCTCCTCCTCCTCCTCCTCTATACTCCTGCTCCTCCATATCCTCCTCCTCCTCCATATCGTCCTCCTCCTCCATATCCTCCTCTTCCTCCTCATAAATGGCTCTCGTTCAGCGAAATCGTGCTACCGGCTCGGGCGACGCGTCCTCTGGTTGCCATGGGAACGTATCCAGTCAGTCTCGCTCGGAGGGATCTGTGAAGGTCTACAGCCTTGGTGTGGAGGAATGTGGCGAGTTCTTTGAGCGGTGCCTCGTTTCTGTGGGCGCCGTTAGTGCGATTCTGATATGTGGCAAATCACGTATCCATTATGGCTATGCAAGTTTAGGGTCGCTTTGAGTGACCTCTTTCTCGTTTCTTGTTTTTCTTCGTAGCTAGGGAGTGGTGCCCCGCCGTTGCCACTGGGGAGAGTTTTAGTTAGCATATCGCAGGGACGTCCACTTCAGGGGCTTAGTCGCCGTAGCACAGGGTCGCCACCCTGACGGTGACTTGACGGATCATGCCGGGGTTCAAGGTTGTGACGGTGAGTGGCCGTCAGAATGACCGCAGCGCGCGTGTTTAGGCGGGGCCAGATCATGCTTATTAGCAAAACCTGCCACACGCTGGGAAAAGGGGACTCTTTTTGCTCTCTCCGTAGGTACACAAATGACTTTGTCATTGTTCTCATGGGGAGGATTGTCAGCTACATGCATGGTAGATGAGTATGTAATGGCTTGGGTACCGTAAGGTAATTTTATCTTGTAACTTGCTATATTGTCAGTCCTTCAGTTGTTAGTTGAGCGAGAGGAAAAAGGGGAAAGAAGGGGAAGATAAGGGAGAGGGGTCGAAGAAAAAGATGCAGAGGGAAAGAAAAGACAAGAAACGAAGAATGAGACACCACGCCGCGTGATTGACGTGATTAGGGAATGTGGCGACAGTACTGCCGCCCACGGTAACGGTAGCGTGTGAACGAGACCAGAACGAGCATCGCGGCGTGAGGAAGCAACGAGGCAGCGATGTCGACGCGAAAGGGGAGGCAGGGACCAGGAGGGGGGCGTCGACGTCGAAGCTGCATCCTTCCGGGGACGGAGGAGGAGGAGGAGGTAGAGGTAGAGGTGGAAGTAGTGGTAAAGGTAGAAGTGGAGGGGAAGGTGGCAGTAGGGAGGTGTTGGGAGAGGAGGAGGTCGTGGGAGGTCAGGGCGAGGGCAGGGAGGCGGAAGGGTAAGCAACGGGAAGGGGGCGAGGGAAGGAGGGAGGCCGAGGGCAGGGTTTGCCTGTAGACGGGATCCAGGAAGAGGTCGCGTCTTGCGTTTGAACAGCCATTTCGATCCTTAAAAGGCTGCCTTTTTTCGCGGCGGCGGCTGGTAATGGAAGGGTTCGGTGGCTGCACGCCTGGCTGCATCAGGCAAGCGCCGCTGCAATTGCCAGAATTATACGTTGTATGTGGGAATGCAAATTGTGTCGCCAGCCTTTCTTTTGTGCGGCGGTTCACACGGGCTCGCGCTGAGAGGACGTGCATACACAAGCACACACACACACACGCTATGTTTATAGATGTGTAAACATTTTTAAACAGATATATAAGTACGCACATACACTTGCATCCGTGTGTGTTTGTTAGTTTTATAGATAGACATACGTCATTCTACACGCGCACACCCACTCACACGCCGAGACCCCCTACATGTACCCTTTATCCAACCTCTGTAGCATGTCACGGGCCGCCGTCACTAAACGCAAGCAGAGTCTG